GAAAAGCATCCTTCGAGGGGGATTTCTGTAGCCCTGGTGAAGGTGCCCTCCCCTTCCTTGGACAGGATCCCAGTGAGAGCTGTAGGTGGCGGGGCTCTGCCAGCAGGGCTGTGGCCTCTTGGAAAGGCACTCTGAGGTGCTGGTACAGTTGGCACAGCTCCACGTGTACACACACACCTGAGTCCCTGCTCACTTCTCTCCAAGGAACAGTGTGTGTGGGGTGGGAGTAGAGAGCTGGAAAGGAGAGCAAGCCGCAGGTGTGCTGGCCAGCTGCGGTCCGTGTCCCAGCCCTTCCTGCTGTACTGATGGCTGTCGTACAGCGGAGGCTGCCAGTGACGCTGCCAGTACAGGCGGAGGCTGCCAGTGACGCAGGCTGCTCCCCACCCAGCGGGGCAGGAAAACCTGTGGCCTCTGGATTAATAGCATTTTAAAATGCCTTTTGATTACAAAAGTATTATGTTTAATAGAAAATTCAGAGACTGCAGAGGAATTGAAAAAAAAAAAGGTAAAGATAAAAAAAATTTTTTTTCTACCATCTGGCCTCAAACTTTCACATTAATCCTCTTAATTTGAAAACTGATTGCGCTATTTGGGCAAACTTCTCTCCCCTGCCTTTGTGTCATAGGATTTAAAGGAAAACAACATGAATGTAGTTATTCATACAATTTTATATCCTAAATGTTAATACTGCCTGTGTTTGCATTTTTCTACATTCTCTTTTATCAACAGTTTAGAAGTGGCGCAGTGTGCTGCCAGTAAGATAGATTATGACTGAAAGCTGCGTTCTAGATTTTTCTTCCATAGTCACCTAGGGATTGGAGAGAAAGGAAAGATGGTGGGGAGAAGCTTTGTCTGTCTAGGATTCTGAGATAAGCATCTCCAGGCCAGGCTGGTGATCAGATCTGTGTGCCCTTCTACCACTGACCTTCTCGCCAGCGTGAAGGAACCTGCCGCCCCCCCCTCCCGCCCACCCCAGCAGAGCAGAGCAGGAGGCATCCTAATGTGAAACAAGACTGATTTTTCCATCAAAGGACCCAGAGACTTGAGTTAAAATCTAACCCCTGTAACCACCGCACAGAAAAGTCATTAGCTCGCTTCTTCAAACACAGCGCCCAGCAATGGCCCTGCTCCCCGGGCACGTGTGTCGGGGCCAGGGGCTGCTTTTATGAAAGCATGACTTTGTTCAAGAGTGGTGGCAGGGCAGTGGTCAGGGCATGCATTCTCCACTTTGAATTATGCATTAACTAGCACTGTGGCTTCGGCCTAGAGGAAAAAGCCCTCTTTATCAGCAGAGGGAACACACCTTGCTCCATGCGGAAACCATTTCAAGTCTGTCTTCATTAGCTTCAAGAAGTTTTCATGGTGGCCAGCCCAGGAAAAACGAATGGGCTGAAGCTCAGAGGGACAGAGAGATGGAAGGAGGCCTCCAGGGCCTGGCTGCCATCCCCGATTATGTTTTGATTTGCTAGAAGTGTGGGCTCTGTGCGAGGGAGGAGCACCGGAGTGTGAGGCCAGAGGATGGGGAAGCCTGTGGAGCTGGGATCCTGCCTTCTCCTTCCCTCCCCTGCAGCCAGTGGAGCCGGACAGCAGGCCGAAGGACCACCTGATGACAGGCAGGCTGTGACCGAGCTTCCAGCACCAGGGATCATAGACTGGCGGGCAAGCTCTTCTTGCTCCTAGGTATCTCAGCATGGGGCTGGGAACCAGCTGAAAGGTGGGCTCTGCATTCCCTCAAGCCCTGCCAAGCGTGAGGCCCCTTCAGCCTCACACCACGTGGTTCTTGCTCTGCTGCCGGTCAGCATCGCCCATGGGCGTTACCACTGCCTGCCCTCACCTTTGTTGAAGGCGCCTTCTCAGTCCAGTCCCTGCTCCTCACAGCCCCCAATCCTGGTCCACACCCCAGCTGCCGTATCAGCCCCAGCACTGCACCAAGGCAATCCAACCCCCTCAGCACTGGGGCCCTCGCCATTCCGTTTCCTCTTCCTCCTGCTCAGAGCAGCTGGACTTGCCCGGGCACTTGGCATGCAGCAGCAGGCTCAGGCGGGAGTTCTTGGGTGTCCATTTCCTCTTTCATTCAGTCTCTCTGTGCGGTCTCTCCTCACCCCTGCCTGTGTTATCCTCACACTGCTGCCACACACTGTGCCATCTCCCTTCCATTCAGCAGCCCAAGTTCCCCGCGGAACCCTCCATAGCTGGCACCAACTCAGCGAGCTCTTTCCTGAAACCCTTAACAGCCTCCAGTCGATGCGCTGTCCAGTAGTTTCTTATCAGCTGCCTGCATTTTCTACAAGTCTGTTTTCTGGGTGACAATGACAGGGACCAGCCTGAGACCTCTGGGTGCCCAAGCACCTATTCTCTGCTCAAATCAGGGTCTCCAGTGTTTGCTGAATGACTGTTGAAGAATGGCATAGTTCTGCTACTGTTGTGCCAGAGGGAGGCTTAGTCCCTGGAACCCACATGGAGGCCAGTTCAGCCATATTGCTATTCATGTTTTTTTCGGTTTTGTGAAAATGGGGTCTTTTTTTTTTTTGTTGAAAGGTAGAGAAAAAAGACCGACCAAGATGTTCCATCCACTGGTTCGCCACCCCCAGATGGCTGCAACAGGTGGGACTGGGCCAAGCAAAAGCCAGGAGCCTATTGCAGATCTCCCATGAGGGTGCAAGGGCTCGATCATTTGAGCCATCATCCGTTGCTTAACCTTGGCTGCCCTCACCTTTGCTAAGGCAAACGATTGAAAGTGGAGCAGCCAAGCATGTGCACCAATGGGGCGGGGGGCCAACAATCTAGAAAGAAAAAAGAAAGTGGAGCACCCAAGATTCTAACTGGTACCCATATAGAATGCTGGCATTGCAAGTATCTGTTTTGCCTGTTATGCCACAATGCCAACCCCTTGGTATTCTCATTTTAAAGCAACTGAGTATGGAATTAATTGTATTTCTAAATCCCCAGTGGTGAGCAGAGAAGGCCTCCAGCTTTATCAAATCAGCCCCTTAAAGACTCCCCGCCTGGGACTGACATTGTAGTGTAGTAAGTGAAGTGGTCACTTGCAGCGCAGGCACCCCATCTGCACATGGATTTGAGAACCGGCTGCTGTGGTCCACTTTCAATCCAGCTCCCAGCCCAACCATTGTAACCCTTTGGGGAGTACACCAGTGGATGCACAATCTCTCTCCCCCTCTCTAACTCTGCTTTTCAAATACCTAAATAATTCTTGAAAAAAAAATACTGCTCCCTACTCCCCTCCTCCTTCAGAATGTAATGGGACATCTCCAAGTGGCTACCAATTACAAGTGAACTCTTCCTCCCAGGCATAGAGCAGCCACACAGGGGACACCCACTCATCTGTCTGATGTCCCCAGGTCCCTGCCCTGGAGAGCAGATGAAGAGTTTGGCCTCCCTGGGAAAGCAAGTTAGGGGGCAGTGCCCACCAGCTGATATGGGCAGGGTGCTGCAGCCAGACCTGCCACTGGGGAATTTGTGGCCCATTAGGTTTGTGCCCAGATGGTTCCCATCCTGGAGGGGGACAAGCAGACAGCCTGTGCAACACAGTGTGACCCTTTGATGTCAGTGTGGCTCCCTAGCCAGTGCTGAGGGAAAGGGACCTACCCGAGAGAAGGTAGGTTGTGCGTGCCACCTGTGGGCATGATTTTTGTTTTTGTTTTGTTTTTGCCTGACCTATAGAGTGTTTTTCCCAGCCGCTGGATTGGCTGCCAACTTGTAAAAAATCAGAGACTTTATGTGACAGTCTAGATTTCTGGCTTCTGCAGAGGACGGAACACCTGGCCAGGCAGGACACTCCCACCCTCTTTCCCCTAGCAGATCTGGGGCATCCGTCTCTACCACACCCAGCCCCCAGGTGCTGTGGGTTGCAAACCCCGGTGGGAGGTGAGATCAGATGGGTCCTCGAGCTCTGCATGCGGAGCAGGTGGCCCTGGACACTGGGATGGCATGACACCTTAAGGAGAGAAACACCATCCCACCCAATGCTCACCCCTGAGTTTCATGGGCAGGCACAGGCAGATAGATGATGGCATGCTCTAGGTGTAGGGGACTAGCAAGAATATTTTCCTGGGTACTCTAAGCTGATCTCTTCAGACTTTGTCATAGCCCCATATCTGGGATGAAGTCACTGAGGCTGATGGCCACACAGCTAGTGGCAGAACTGGCCGGCTGACTCCACAGGCTCGCTCTATGGTGGCGGTTCCTCCAGCGCTCTGGATGGTCCCGAAAGTCAACATCCAGTCCTGCGTGGATTTTCAGCTACACAGGTCTGAACCTTATTCAGTGATGATCCCCTCCAGTCAAAGAGTGAAATTGATTTTGTAATGCAAGACAGGAGTCTAGGGTGAGGGAGGGTGGGCATGCGGAGTTCCTGATTTCTGACAGCGCCCTGAGGAGCAGCGCCCTAGTTGTGACTCAGTTCCTCGTTTGGGTTGAAGATAGCTCAGGTGGTTTAGAGGATGCGTGAATTCCTTTTTTCTTTCTTCCTTTTCCCCCCACCCCTTCTAAGGTGTAAAAACTCAGTGGCTTCAGCTGGGTCTGAATTCCACCTCCTCTCCCTGGGGCCACCACACTTCATCGCCCTCCCGCTTAGCACAACCCTTGGAGACCTGGAAACTCCCGGAGGACAAGGTCAGCCGGGAATTTGGAAGGTCACGGAGGTCGCAACGTAGAGGTGCGAAAAGAGGGAGGAGGGATGGCTTGGGCTTTAAAGACACCGGAACCGCCAGAGGTTTCCGCGAGAGACCATTTGCAGCTTCTGCAAACAACCTCAAAGTCATCAGCGCCCCTCTGCGGAATTCCAGGCTGAGCTTGTCACAATTGTTAACACCTTCCACCAGCCTTTCTCCATTTCACAATTACTCTCCTCGGCTCCTCGTTCTTGCCGGCCGGAAGGTGCAGCTGCCTCGGTTTTAGGGAGCCCTCTGCGTTCAGCCATCCGACCCAGGGTGTGCACGAGGCGGGCTGACTTCTCGCTCGCCGGTTCTGCAGGGTAAGTAGGTGTCCTGACTAGAAAGCGGGGCGGGGACCAGAGACCCGCATTGTGGCAGCGCCTGGAGGTTCTCTAGGAAGTTAACGACCCTTCCAGGTCTCGGCTGCACACCATGACCGCCTCCCTTGGGCAGCTGGGAGAAACTGGTCGCGGAGAGAGCGCAGAGACTGAGGGTCCTGGCGAGCCCAAGGAGCCGCGTCCATGCGGGACCCCGCGTCCCCGGCCGGGGCAGCTGCCTCCGACCGAGCCGGGCAAGGGGACTCTCCCTCGTGGCCCTCCTACTCCTGTCAACTTTCCCGACCCCGGGGCCGGAGGAGTGCGCCTCTCCCAGCGGGGGCGCGCGCGGCACTTAAAGGCGGTTCCGCGGGGCCGGTGCGCGTCAGTCGGAGCGCGGCGGCGGCGAGGTCGGAGGAGAGGCATGGAGCCGCAGCGGGTTTGCTGAGCACCGGAGCGCGGGCAGCCGGCGGCACGGTGAGCGCGGGCCGGGCCCACCAGCCCCCTCGGAGGGGCGGGCGCGCGGGGTTGCGCCGAGGAGCCCGGCACACAGGCTCCAAGCGTGCCTCTTGGGGGGCCCCCCCGGACATCCAGTGGCTACCCGCATTGCGGGCGCCGCGTCCTCTCGAAGGAAGCCAGCCGGGTGCTGTGGCAGCTCCGCCGTTTCCCAGCGGCGGTCCCTGCATCCCCTTCCCCGCAGCCCTCTCCGCTCTTTCTTCCTCCATCGTCTCCTTCCTCCCTCGCGGCTCCCGTTTTGTGAATGAGTTAGGAGGCAGACGAATGTGTGGGAGCAGGAGGCTGCCTGAAATACCCCTCCCCCAGAAACCCCATTGCCCTCTAAGAGTTCGCCCCTGTCCCAGCATCCAGATAGCCGGCGCCCTGGTTCCTGCGGGTCATTCTAGCCATGGCAGCACGTGGCAGCGAGGCTGCACTGTTCTTTCCTTGCCGGCTCAGAGGGGCGCATGAGGAGAAGCCCCCACCTGGCTCACAAGTTTCCATCCCGGAGCGTGTGGGCTCCGAGGTAGGGCACACCTGTCAGTAGGAGAGGCGTTGCACACCAGGTAGCCCCTCAAAGTTTTGGGAGTGGATAGGGAGGTAGGCACGAGTAACCTTAGCTGTAGGTTTTCTCCTTGGATCGTCTGGCAGCATGGTGTCGGGGAGCGTCCCCAACCTCTTGTTCTTGAAGTCGCGGGTGCACTAGGCCGGGCCCTCTGGATCCCTTCTGAACCAGGGCTTGTGGTGGGAGATGGCTCCGACTGAATAGGCACCTGCCCGACACCGCAAGCTTGGGCTCCCTGCCTTCATCTAAACCAGACTGCGTGCCAGCGCCTGATAGCACGTGGGATATTCGGCTGCGGTACCTTCTGGGTTTCTCTGTGAAGAGGGGAACTGCCTTTAATTCTTGCCGGGGGAAGGGGGGGGGCAGACGACAACGGGGAGCGCCTTTGTCTGCAGGCACACTTTGCCACGGTAGCTGGAGCCCTGGCCAGCCAAGCCTGGTCTGGTCCGCCTCTGACTCCGTGGGTTTTCCTTTCCTTACCAGCTGGGGCGTGGGGAACTGGAACGTGGGTGTGGCCGGCGCAGTCTTCGCCAGGAGGCAAGACTCAAAAAAACCCTGGGCCAGGGCTGGGGTAAGCGTGGCGAGTCCCTTGTCGCGCGCGACCTGCTGGGCACAGCCCTGGCTTTGGGGGCGGGGCCTCCAGCGCCCCGGAGGGTGCTGGGCAGCCCTGGGCATCCCAAGCCTCTTTCCAAAGCACTGTTTGTGTGGGTGTCCTGCAGAGGAAGCGCCGCGGGCTCCCCGGGACAGCGGGGCAGGGCACCTGGAGGCCAAGCTTCCCGGAGCGCCAGAGCTGCCAACAGCTTTTTCCGGACCAGGCTGCTAATGGTTCCCATCCAGGGCTAACTTGAGCAGTGACTGCGTGCTCAGCTATCCTGTGTGGGGAGATGTGTTTGCGCTTGGTGTGTGACCTAGAGGTGCGTGAGGTGGATAGTCGGTCTGGAAGGGAGACAGCTTTGTCTTCAGAGCTGGGTGGAAACGGAGGCGGCCTGGGGGAGAATGGAGGGCAGGGAGCAGTGCTGCAAACCTCTCCCTGCTCTGCAAGGAAACCATAAGACTTAGCACTTGGGTAGTCCCTGGGGAGCTGATTGGTTTCCATTGACAAATCACTCAGGGAAGACCTGCAAGCTGGAAACACCTTGTGCTAGTGGTGGGGAGGCCAGGTCGAGGAGAGGGTTGCAGAGCCCCCTCTCAAGCAGCTGCTGTTCTCACTCCATCAGCTATTCCTAACGGGGCAGATGGTAGCTTCACGTCCCAGACTAGCCTGGCAGGGGTCAATGCTGGCGAGTGCTCCAGGCACTAGGACCAGGCGGATGTATTTGGAAGCTGCTGCAGTGGCTGCTGTGGTTCCCACTAGTTCTCATTTCCTCCCCTGCCTGCTCTGCTTTTTCCCTCTGGCTTTCCCTTTCCTGCCTCTCACATAAATGAGGAAAAGGTGAGAAAGCAGAGATTGAAGGCAGTGTTTCTCCTTGATGTTTCCAGGAGAAAGGAAAGCAGGTGCTTTTGTCCCCCGGCGCCTCTTAGGCCTCCCTTTGTTTCTCTCTTCCTCCCCCATTTGCTTCTTGAGCCTTGCAGGTGGCTGTGCTATACTGGTGTATGTCCCCTACTGGGCGGAGTAAGTGGGTGATCTCAAGGCAGGGTTGCTGCCTCACTGTGGCCTTTGGTTTTGCAATCATTAATGCTCTACCTTAAGTGCCTTCTTCTTATATCACCTACTTAACCCTCAACCAGGCGGTGAGGTTAGTTAGCAATGCATATTGTACAGATAAAGTCACTTAGGGGTAAGACAATGAGTGGCAGAGCCAGAACCTAGACCCCCCATAGTCTGTTCTGGGTCTACAAAGACTTGCCCAAGTTCAGAAAGTGGAAATGGCTTACTAACAGGTGCTTTCCTGCCAGTTGGGCTTGGAGGATCTGCTCACATCCCAAATGAGTGAAAACACTGCCACCTGCCTGACTCCACCTCTTCTACCTTCCTTTGCCAGATGCCAGTGCAGCTGACAACAGCCCTGCGCGTAGTGGGCACCAGCCTGTTTGCTCTGGCAGTGCTGGGTGGCATCCTAGCAGCCTACGTGACAGGCTACCAGTTCATCCACACAGAGAAGCACTACCTGTCCTTCGGCTTGTACGGTGCTATCCTGGGCCTGCACCTGCTCATCCAGAGCCTGTTTGCCTTCCTGGAGCACCGGCGCATGCGGCGGACTGGGCGTCCACTGAAGCTGCCGTCCTCACGGCGTTGCACCGTGGCCCTCTGCATCGCCGCCTACCAGGAGGATCCTGACTACTTGCGCAAGTGCCTGCGCTCAGCCCAGCGCATTGCCTTCCCTGACCTCAAGGTGGTCATGGTGGTGGACGGCAACCGCCAGGAGGATGCCTACATGCTGGACATTTTCCATGAGGTGCTGGGTGGCACAGAGCAAGCTGGCTTTTTTGTGTGGCGCAGCAACTTCCATGAGGCTGGTGAGGGCGAGACGGAAGACAGCCTGCGGGAGGGCATAGAGCGAGTGCGGGCTGTAGTGCGGACGAGCACCTTCTCCTGCATCATGCAGAAGTGGGGAGGCAAGCGTGAGGTCATGTACACAGCCTTCAAGGCCCTTGGCGACTCGGTGGACTACATCCAGGTAAGGGTACCGCCCTAGGAATATGTCAGCAGGGATGTCTCCAGTCAGCTGGAGTGTTGTCCTTCAGGCATTTGGGGGCCAGTCAGGATCCCCTGCTTGTTGCAGCCCCCTACTCTATCCCTAAGGTTAAAAGGCCTAATGCTCTGAACAGCATTCCTGGTAGAAGTGTGGTCCCATTGTTCCGAGAGTTGTGACAGAGCACAATTCGGACAGGTTTGTCCCAGGTGTATGAGGAAGATGGTGCATGGCAGCCACTGCATAACCAGGCGTTGTTTGTTTTGTTTTAACATTTATTTATTTATTGGAAAGGCAGATATACAGAGAGGCGAAGAGACAGAGAGGAAGATCTTCCATCCGATGATTCACTCCCCAAGTGAGCGCGACGGCCGATACTATGCCGATCCAAAGCCAGGAGCCTGGAACTTCCTCTGGGTATCCCACCTGGGTGCAGGGTCCCAAAGCTTTGGGCCGTCCTCAACTGCTTTCCCAGGCCACAAGCAGGGAGCTGGATGGGAAGTGGAGCTGCTGGGATCAGAACTGGAACCAGGTGCTGTTGTAGACACTTCAATGTCATTGAAATCTTCAGTACCCCCAGAAGAGGGAGTGTGGGGACTGTTATAGTGCATCAGGTTAAGCTGCTGCTCACAATGCCATATCCCAAACCAGGGTGCTGGTTCATGCTCTGCCAGCTCTACTTGTGATGCAGATCCTTGGAAAGGTAGCAAAGGGCCTGGATCGAGCTCCTGGCTTTGGCCTGGCCTAAGTCCAGTGGTTGGGGTTATCTAGGAAGTGAGCCAGCAGATGATCTGTCTACCTTTGACTAAATAGTTTTTAAAGATTTATTTATTTTTATTACAAAGTCAGATATATAGAGAGGAAGATCTTCCATCTGATGATTCACTCTCCAAGTGGCTGCAACGGCTGGTGCAGCACTGATCCAAAGCCAGGAGCCAGGAACTTCCTCCAGGTGTCCCACATGGGTGCAGGGACCCAAAGCTTTGGGCCATCCTAGACTGCTTCCCAGGCCACAAGCAAGGAGCTGGATGGGAAGTGGGGCTGCTGGGATTAGAACCGGTTCCCATATGGGATCCCGGTGCATTCAAGGAGAGGACTTCAGCTGCTAGGCCACCATGCTGGGTCCAACTAAGTAAATCTTAAGAAATAGTCATGGAGTAATAACTTTTTGAGAAGTAGAGACACAGATCTTTCATCAGGAAACTTGATTAGCTCTGCAATGTTCCATTTTCATGAAACAAAACCGGGGGTGAACTGGGATGAAAGCTCATTAGTTTCAAGGGCATGCAGCTGGTCTAGTGGGTAAGACACCACTGGGGACACCTACTTCCACTGTCAGAGTGCCTACTTTGAGTTCTGCATATACTTTCGATCCAGCTTCTGGCTAGAGCATACCCTGGGTGACAACAGGACAGATGGTGGCGCAAGTGCTTGAATACCTACCACTTATGTGAGAGACTTTAGTGCAGAGTTTCTGGCTCTGCCCTGGCCATCGTGGGCACTTAGGGAGTGATCCAGCAAATGCAAGATCTCCCTGCCTAGTCGTGCAGTCTATCGGAGCCTGGATTTGATGCCTGGTTCTACTCCCAACTCCAGCTCTCTCGTAACGTGCAGGTTGGGAGGCAGCAGTGACAGCCCAAGTGAGAGACTTGGGACTGAGATTCTGGCTCTGGGATTAGGTCCCACTTGGGGGCCACTGTCGACACTTGGGGAGTTTGCTTTGTTACTTCCCATGAAATTTATGTTTGAAAGCAACAGAATGAGATTCCATCCACTGGCTCACTTACTAAATGGCTGCAACAGGGCTGGGCCGTAATGAACTAGCAGCCAGGAACTCCAGCTGGAGCCCCACCTAGGGGGCAGGGTCCCAATTACATGGGCTAACTTTCTCTGCTATCTTCAGTGCATTAGCAGGAAGCTGGATTGGAAGCCAAACATGGATTTGAACCAGCAATCTGAAGAGGACACTAGTTTCCCAAGCAGCAGCTTAACCACAATATTTAGTACTACACAGAAATCTGAAATCCAGGATCCCATGAGCTTTGGTCCAGAATCTAGCATCCTCCCTGCTAGGGGTCGTGCCCATCTCTTGATAAATGCTTGGAAGCAAGGTGGCCCTTTGTCTAACCGTGCTTCTGACTGCATGTTGATTTCATCAGGTGAGTATGACTCTAAGACTTCCAACTGCCTGCCAATACGGCTGTGAATGGGGTCTCATGGGAGGCAACCTTGGCCCAGCCACCAGGAGGGCTCTTGTTTAGCTAGATTCCCCCACCACCCAAGGGAAAAGAGCTGAGCAGCTTGGGAAAAGGTCAGGGCAGGAAGTGGAAAGGAGACCAGCAGCACTAGGAAGCCTGGCTTGTAGGTGGGAGAGGCTCTGAGTCCAACCTGGTGCCAATAAGCTGTACTGATTCCCACTCAAGTCTCCTGCTGCTTGTCTGTGGCTGACCCATCTTCCAGCTTGCAGAAAGCTGGGAGGGGTTGGGATGTTGGAGGTGGCCTCCTTCCTGAGGACCGATGGGCTCTCTTAGCAAATTTAGTGAGAGGACTGGAGGCTTTTGGTTCATCTGGATGCTGTCCTGTGTCGTGAGAACAGTAACAGTGAGGTTCACCTGGTGAGTATAGACCAGTTTTTGGTTATCTCAACTCTTAGTATCTTAGTACCACTTCAGTACTTTTTTAGAAGATGCAAGGTGACAGCCTCTAGGGGAAATACATTTCATAGCCCAGGTTCAACTAATAATGTGCCCGTCTAGTAGACAACACGCCTCCCAAGAAAAGGAGATTGCTAGCATTTATCTAGGATCAGACTGAGGTTACAGATAGAGACCCTGTGTTCAGTAATTCTACGGGATAGTCTTAGGCCAGGAGCCCAGTAGGAGCCATTCCTTGGGCTCCAGAAAAATGCACACTGGCTGTGTTCTAGCCATTGTGCCCATCATCTGATATCTGTGGTCTGTTCTGCCCAGGGACCCTGGAGATGAACATAAAAACTGTTCTCTGCCCTTCTCAGCCTTGTGACTATCCAGCCTGGTTCCTGAACTCGCCTTCACTTCCCTTCCCTTTTTTTCCTTTCATCTCTTCAGTTTGGCACAGATTGCTTTACTGGAGTTCAGTCATGTGAAGAGGGAGTTGGTCCCGATGCAGAGTGGCCCTGTGGGTACGCACGTAGGCCTGTGGTTCAAGTGGGCTGACAATATGCTTGTTCCCTTTGCAGGTGTGCGATTCTGACACTGTGCTAGACCCAGCCTGTACCTTTGAGATGCTGAGAGTCCTGGAGGAAGACCCCCAAGTAGGGGGAGTCGGGGGAGATGTCCAAGTAAGAAATGACCAGCGATTCCTGGATGGGTGGGTGCATACGTGTCCAAGTAAGAACTGATCAGCGATTCCTGGGTGGGTGCACGTGTCGTTTGCTAACCCAGCAGGATGTCCAAGATGGTTCCCTTTTGACAGGGCTCACCTCACTAGCTACCCAGCTCCTTTACTGCTCTTTCTCAAGGGGAGAGTCTTGGCAGCTACAAGGAGTCAGTACTTTAGGGAGAAACATTGTGTTCAGAGGCCACATATCCTTTTTGGTTGGTGATGTAGTAAGTCACTCCACAGGTAGATCTTTGGGAAGTCCTAGCTCCGAGGGCACTTAAGCTGCAAAGCGCTGGAGAATCTCATCTCTCAGAGGACAGTGTAGGCAGCATATTGTGATAGCTTCCCAGCCACACAAGTTAGGACAGGTGGCTAGGATAAGTTTTGCTTTTATAGATAACACACAGATATTTATACATTTATGTATATTATATGTGTATATATATAGTTTATTTAAGGCAAAATTGAGAGGGAGAGAAAGATACCTTCCCGTCTGTCTTGGCTCACTCCTCATATGGCCACAATAGCTAGAGTTAGGCTGCTCTGAAGCTGAGAGCTTCTTCAGGACTATCACAAGTGTGCAAGGGTCCAAACACTTGGGCTGTCCTTCACTACTTTCCCAGGTATATTAAAAGGGAGCTAGATCAAAAGTGATAAAACAGAACTCGAACTGGCATCCCCATGGGAAACCAGTGCCACAGATGGTGGCTGTACCCCCATACCACAGCATGGGACCTGGGTTTTAACCACTGCAGCAGCTTAGCAAAATGAATACAGCTGACAGAGGCGGATGGACCAGATATCAGACAGTGAGTGGGTATAGTTGGCTGCACTACTCAGGTTTCCCATGTCTAGCAGGGTTAGAAACAATGGCCAAGTACATTACCAAAACAGGCCACAGGGCCTGGGCAGGGAGGCCTTATGTTCTGTGGGGCCTGTCTCCTCTGGGGCTTGCTGTGAGGAGGCCCAGCATCTCCTTTCCTTTGCAGATCCTCAACAAATACGATTCATGGATCTCATTCCTAAGCAGTGTGCGGTACTGGATGGCCTTCAACGTGGAACGCGCCTGCCAGTCCTACTTTGGCTGTGTGCAGTGTATCAGCGGGCCCTTGGGGATGTATCGCAACAGTCTCCTCCAGCAATTCTTGGAGGACTGGTACCATCAGAAGTTCCTAGGCAGCAAGTGCAGCTTTGGGGATGATAGGCACCTCACCAACCGAGTCCTGAGTCTTGGTTACCGAACTAAGTACACAGCCCGCTCCAAGTGCCTCACAGAGACACCCACCAAATACCTCCGGTGGCTCAACCAGCAGACCCGCTGGAGCAAGTCTTACTTCCGTGAGTGGCTCTACAACTCCCTGTGGTTCCATAAGCACCACCTCTGGATGACCTATGAATCAGTGGTCACAGGCTTCTTCCCCTTCTTCCTCATTGCCACAGTCATACAGCTCTTTTACCGTGGTCGTATTTGGAACATTCTCCTCTTCCTGCTGACTGTGCAGCTGGTGGGCATTATCAAGGCTACCTACGCCTGCTTTCTTCGGGGCAATGCAGAGATGATCTTCATGTCTCTCTACTCCCTTCTCTATATGTCCAGCCTCCTGCCTGCAAAGATCTTTGCCATTGCTACCATCAACAAGTCTGGCTGGGGAACTTCTGGACGAAAAACCATTGTGGTTAACTTCATTGGCCTGATTCCTGTATCTATCTGGGTGGCAGTTCTTCTGGGGGGACTGGCCTACACGGCTTACTGCCAGGATCTGTTCAGTGAGACAGAGTTAGCCTTCCTTGTCTCTGGGGCCATCCTCTATGGCTGCTACTGGGTAGCCCTCCTCATGCTGTACCTGGCCATCATTGCCCGGCGATGTGGGAAGAAGCCAGAACAGTACAGCTTGGCCTTTGCTGAGGTGTGATACAGCCACCCCCAAGTAGAGTGGGAAAAGTGCAATGGGTAAGGGAGGGAAAGGGGCTGGAAGAGATGGGGGGAAGGGAGGAGGGAGTGCTGTGTTTTAGTTTCTTAGTGGTCCAAAGGACAACTCTGAATTGCAAAAAAACAAAAACACTGGTCTGGTCTGAGCAGCCGTGCTTCAAAAAGCAACACCCTGCTCAGGCTCAGGACCAAGTGGTCATATATTTATATTTAGGGGCTGCCTGTGTGCTTGCCTCTGCACACAGGCAGTGGCCTCTGGGAGAGATTCCACCCCAGTGGGACTTACAGGGATATAGAAGTGTGCTAAAACAAATGCCATTCAGTGGCCACTTGTAATGGTTAAGTGAGCAATGACATCCTTTGGAACAGGCTCTTCTATCCCATCTGAATCCAACCAGAGGTGCTGGGACAATCTCTCCTCAGGGCACTTGGCTTGCTGTCTCCTTCCTCCCCAACCCCCCAGCAGACATCAATGCAATAAGACTGTGCTTCAGATACAAGGCCAGAAGCCTGATCTGCGGGCACCAGAAAACAGGGTCCAGGAATGGTGCTTTATGGGATACCCTACTCCACACCTCAGCATCCCAGGGATCAACCAGACCAGCTGGGAATTAGCATCAAACTGCTTTTAATAGGTGTGGAGGAAAAAGGAAAGTTTGCAAGAAGGAACAAAGACCAGTGATGCTAAAGACAACCATTGACTATGTAGAGGCCTTAGGCTGAATGTTTTACCTGTAAATTGCTCATACTTCCGAGATCAATTCTTAGCTTACCTGTGATTTCTGCTTGGGACAGCCATCTACCAGAAGATTCACCCCCAACCTGGACAGAAAAGTGAAGCTTTGCTATCTGAACCCATGAATACTTGGGATCAAATCTGTCAAATTCAGCTCTAAGACACTTTCCTCACTTCACTTTCTTTAAAGGTATATTTTGGGGTATAACTGCAGCCAACCCTTCTACCCTCATCATGTGCCAAGTTTTTCAAGCTGGTGATGAGGGCAGAGCCTGGGCTCCCAGGACCGCTGCCACAGGCAAGCCTGGGCTCAGCACACAGGGAGAACTATCAGGAGCCTCTGCTCAAGGGGGAACAGTAGTGGAACTGCTTGGAGTAACTCCTTAGCAGCTGGTGAGCAGTGGTGACTTAAACATTGCTGTCCATGACAATCGCCTTCCACAGAAAGTTTCTGCATTGCCAAAATGAACCTCAGATCCAACTGTGTGTGTGAGGCTGTTCCCTAGGGCATCAGGGAACTCAGTCAGGTATAGACCATTATTACTGCACTTGTTTCTGTGCAGAAGCCCATACCAGGAGATGGTATGGCTGCTACACCCTAAATGTCTTGCTTTCTCTTTACTTTAAAGTTGTTTGATGGTTTTCTTCTTCTGCTTTTGGAGACAGGAAGCCATTTTCCAGTGATTTGAAATCCACAGAATGTTCTTGGGCTTTTGGGTTTGAAACCTGGTATCCTGACTAAGCTTCTGACTTACAGGTTTCTTCCTTATTCTCCCCCAAACCTCCATTTTCGGAGTGGGCTAACCTTCTGAATCAGCACTAAGGTGTACGGTAGTTCGGAAGCAAGTCTCAAGCTCACTCACATGCTTCCTACAGAACGGAGTGTGCTCTGAGCCAGGCCAATCCTGGTGCTTTCCAAACTCAAGGATTTCCCTGGCGTAGATGACAGTTGCCAATTCACAAAGGCCTCGAGTTACTGGATAAGCCTGAGGTCAGGCCCTATCCATGAAGGCTGGGAAGCAGCAGGCATTTGCACATGGTAGTTGTTCTAGGCTCTTCTGTGTTTCTGCTGGCCAAGAAGCACACTATTTTGAGCACTACAATGGAGGAAATCCGGCCCACCAACTGCAGAACGTAAACTTCTCTAAGGGCTTTTCTTCAGCTTTGACTAGAAGGTGTTGGACTCTGGAAAATGCCTGGTTGTCCTACTTATCAGTTCTGCCCTGCACTGGTCAGCTTTCCTCAGACCAGAAACAGGATAGAAAGTGAGCTCACAACGTTTGACCTCGACTGGTTTTTCTAAGTTATTTTGTATGCTTTTCAGCAAAACCAAACTGGGTCTTCAGCTTTATCCCTGTTTCTGGCAAGGGAGGAGCCTTTATATAATGACACATTTTGGTTTTTTGTCACTGAAAATTTTAACCCTCTTTTGTATTTCTATGGTATTTTGTAAGCATATTTATTTTTACTTTTTTTTTTTTTTTTACTTTTTCAGTCAAGTTTTTATAATGCACTTATTTGTCAAAAATAAAGATTCTCACATAAGGCTGTATTTCTGAACTACTTCCTTTTTGCACATAATAAAAACTAGCCTCCTATTCCAGTAGCAAAAGGCCCAAGGCAGAAACAGTTTGCCAGAAAATTTAAAGTAGGATAAGTTTTCACAGCTGCCTCTGGACAAGGGCTCCATTTAAATACCTTGTGAGATGCACGAACCCCTTCCTAAAGCAAAACACCAAAACTTGCTTCCTCCATGAGCGAAAGCATTTTTTAGCTGGCAGATAGTGCAGGGCTGTGGCCAAGCTGAAACAGAAGCAGAGGGTAAACTTCCTTCCCTGCCTAATAGGTAATAAGACAGAAATTACCTCAGCAACCCTCTCATCCCATTTATTACAGAAACAGTAAGAAAAGATACAATGCAGGAAAACACCAACCATCCTTTCTTGTCAGGCTGAAAGAACCACTGATTTCTCCCCTTCATCCCCCACCCCACCCCAATTCCCTTAAACATCAAAATTTTGAGGTTCACTGATTGTATGTACCAGTGGTAAGGGAGCTGGCTGAGCAGAGGAGTCTTGTGTCAGGCTACCTCTAAGCCCAGTCAAGCAGAAGTCGTATTTGGTGGTCTTTTTGAAATAGTTGTCTACCTCCCTGTTCTGTGTGTGAGGCCCCCAGGGAAAAGTATGGCAGTAGAGGATGCCCAGGTCTGAGCTAAGCATGGTCTGTTCACCAGTGCAACACTTCTGGGGAGCAGTGATGAGCAGGAACTATGTGTGAGTTGGGACCTGTGGGCAAAGTATCCCTGAGGAAAAGTCCACAAGAACAAGAAACTAGTAAGAAACACAGGGCAGAAAGCTGTGGGACAAAAGCACAGCTGGTGTCTGGAAAGCTGGAGAGCCCTTCAAGGCTGGGATGGTTCCTCCTGCTGCAATCTATGTCCCACAAACAACATTTTCACCTCCAGTCAAGAAAAGAATGGCTCACCTGATCTTGAGCCCCAGGTGGTTTTTCCAGACAGTAGTCCATACATACCCTCTCACCTAAGACACAGTTCCTATCCAGAACCACAGTGCCTTGAAACGAAGGTGGTCCTGCAGGGAAAGTGGTGTTTAAGGGGGTAACATTCCATTTGGGTACACTGCAGCCATTGGCCCCCCTGGTCTAGGGAAAGCAGCTGGATTTGAACCAGGGAGGCTCCCCACTCTTGGAAAGGGAACCAAGCTCTTGCTCACAGGGCCATTCATCCTTGGAAAAGAAGCCGAGTTGAGACCCAGGGTACCGGCTGGTCTTGTGAAAGGAGTAGGGCTGATACCCATAGGGCCTGCTGGAGAAGAGCCCAGGTGCCCAGCAGTTGACCTGGGGAAAGCAATCTGACCAGGGCCTAATGGACCACTAGACCTTGGGAAGGTAGAAGAACTTGGACCTTGTAGTCCAGTGGCTCTTGGGAAGTTTGCTGGGTTGGGGCCCAGTGGCCCAGAGGCTCTCGGGAAAACTGCTGAAGTTGAGCCCTGGAGGCCAGCTGACCTTTGGAAGGTGGCTGGGTTTGAAGCCAGTGAGCCAGGCGCATGAGAAAATGGAGTTGGGTTCATTCCTCCCGAACCTGGCCCCCTTGGAAAAGGGTTGACATTTACACCCATTGGACCACCTGACCTTGAGAAATGAGCTGGATTAGGGCCTATGGGGCCAGGAGCCCTTGACATAGGTGATGGATTTGGCCCTGGAAGGCCCATTCCTCGAGAGCTAGGACCCATGTTTGGACCTATAGGACCAGGAACTCGTGCAATGGAGGAAGGGTTTGTGCCCATGTTTCCAGAAGCCTGGGACAAAGCTGAATTTGCTCCTAAAAGACCTGCTGCTCTCAGAATGGGGGCAAGATCTAGTCCTTGAGGTCCAGTCATTCTTAAATTAAGACCAGATCCAGTACCCAAGAGGCCACTGGCTCTGGCATCCAGATTAGGGCCTGGACCCAGGCCACCTGCTGCTCTTGGGTTGGGCCCGAGGCCTGGGCCTGCACCTGGGAACATACCTGACCTAGGAGCAGCATTTGTACCCAGAAAGCCTGATCTCAGATTGGGATTTGGCCCAGGACCCAGACCAACTGGCCTTGGATTGGTGGGAGGGATGTTCCCAGAGGGTAAGATACCTGCTCTCAGGTTGGGTCCAGACCCAGGGCCCATGGGACCACCACTTCTGGGGTCAGGACCGGCTCCCAGGATACCACCTACTCTTGGGTTGGCCATAGGACCTGGCCCTGGGAGATTCCCTAGCCTGGGGTTAGGCAAAGGTCCAGGGCCTGCAAGGGGCCCTGAGCCTGGAAGAGATCCTGTTCTAGAATTGAGGCCTGGGCCCAACATGCCACCTGGCCTCGGGAAAGAAACTGTGCCTGTGCCAGTGGGATTCATCCCTCTTGGAAAAGCCGCCATGCTTGGATCTCGAGCACCTGCAGGAAAAGGTGCTGGATTTGAAGCCAATGAGCTTGATGAGGCTGGAAAAGAAGATGGGTTCCTTGGAAATGGGGCCATATTTCCACCAAGAGAACTGGCCGCCATAAGGAAAGGATCTGAGTTCATGCCCAGCGGGTGGCCTGTGTTCAGAGCAGGACCCCCTTGTGGTCCAAAGGAGCTGTCAAGCCGTCCTCGAGGTGGCAGTGGAGCACGAGTCCATGGAGTCGGCCGCTCTCTGAGGAAAATCCGAGGTTCTTTCATACTTTCTTGGGGACGTTGGTGATAATGGGCTTAGGGCGGGTTTTGAAAAGGATCTTGTTTTTGATGAGTGCTGTCACCAGGTACCGAGTGCCAGTCTCGCCGCCAAGCTCATCACAGTCCTGCTCCCCTGGAGTGTGTTTGACAAGGACTGCAAACGGTTTCTCGAGGTGGATGATTTTCCCATACAGGATATGATGCCCCACAATCAGCACAGGGGTTCCCTTTGGCAGAACAGAATGAAACACCTGAGGTTCAGGACAAGGTCACACCCCCAGGTGCCTTCCAAAGCTGCACATGCAGGCAGTGCCAGCATTCTACTCCTCGCTGGTCTGGCTCTGTCACCGCTGAGCGGTCACACTGGACCACCCACCCTTTACATCCTTTGTAAACCCACGTTAATAGAATTTCCACTTTGAGAAATGTGACCTTTCCCAGTTCCCCAAAGCTGAATTTCCCTACTACCACAGAGGCCGAGAACAAGCAGAGATTCAAACCCGAGGGCAGTCCTCTAAGTCCTGGGAGCACCACCTCGGTGTACCTCGCTTTCCTGAGGCATCAGGCGGGAAAGAAAAGCCCCCTCACCTCAGTGGTGTAATGTAGGTCTCCCAGGAGGTTTCCAGCTAATCCGGTGCTGTAGCGAGCCTCGATCTCCCCCTGTAGCTCCATCAGCACCCATTCTGCCAGGCCTCCAGCCCCCGCACTGCAAGCAAAGGGCTGGCGGTTACAATATTTTTGAGGGGTGAAGGATGAGCAGGGTCCTACACCACCAAAGCCCAAAAGAGCTTTGTTTTGAGCATTAAGAACTTGGAAAGATGGGAAGTGCTAGGCACCAAACTAGAATTCAAACTGCGTGCACATATACCTGTTGACCCTGATTCCTTCAGAAAAATGTCAGATCAGTATAGCCCTGATATAGAATTCTCACTACATAAAATTTGAAATGCTTTCACTCACCTGGAAACAACAATCTGCACCATGAGCCTTCTGTCTTAAACAACTGCAACGAGCTGGAGAGAGAAAAGGAAAAGGCCTCAGGACATTCCTACAGATGGGAGGTATGATTTACCCCTTACGGCGAGCTGGGCACTTTCCCAGGTGTTCCAGAAATGCTTCATTCTCCCACCACTCCATAAGGTTTAAGTTTTCTTTGGCTGACACTGCATACAAAGAAAGCTGCCTAAGAGTCACAGTAGTTGATTATATTAGGGACAAGTTACAGGTATCAAAACTGTGATCAAGGCCATACAAGCCACAAAATTAAAAACAGGATTCGAAACCAAGACACACTGTATAGACCACACTCTTGATCACTAAATCAACTGCTTTTCTCAAATTCATTATTTTTAAAATAAATTTATTTTTTATTGCAAAGTCAGTCTTACAGAAAGAAGACAGAAAGATCTTCCATCCGCTGGTTAATACACCAAGTGGCCACAACAGCCAGAGCTGAGCCAATCTGAAGCCAGGAGCTTCTTCCGGGTCTCCCACACAGGTGCAGGGTTACAAGGTTTTGAGCTGTCCTTGACTGCTTTCCCAGATCACAAGCAGAGAGCTGGATGGGAAGTGGTTCCGCGAGGATTAGAACTAACGCCCATGTGGGATCCTGGCACATTCAAGGTGAGAACTTTAGCAGCTAGGCCACCACCAGGCCCATCTTCATATTTCTTAACAAAGAAATCAAGCCAGTTTCTACTTTCTTCTTTGACAATGACAAATTCAAGACTATCATTTGGTTTTTTTTAGGGTCAAGGAGCTCCCCTGTCCCTTTAAAAAATAAAACTAAGGGCCCAGAGCAGTGTCCTGGCAGCTAAAGTCATCGCCTCGAACGCACCAGGACCCCATATGGGTGCTGGTTCTAATCCCAGCTGCTCCACTTCCCATCCCGCTCCCTGCTTGTGGCCTGAGAAAGCAGCTGAGGACAGCCCAAAGCCTTGGGTTCCTGCACTCACATGGGAGCCCTGGAGGAAGTTTCTGGCTCCTGGCTTCAGACTGGCGCAGCATTGACCATTGCAGTCACTTAGGGAATGAATCATCAGACGGAAGATCTTCCTCTCTGTCTCTCCTTTCTGTATATCTGACTTTGAAATTAAAAAAAAAGTTCAGACTCTGCCCTCCCTTAAAAAAAAAATAAAAATAAAAATAAGAGAACTGAAAGTTTCACAGACAATTTCAGCGACAGGTAAGATGATTTTTAACATTATCTTCATTACACGCTTTAGTCACTTTTCACTAAGAAACCCAAGACCCCTCCCCTTAGAAGACATTTTCACTTTGTGCAACAGCACCACCTAGTGGGAACTTTCGAGTATTCCATAAGAGGGTTTAGTTTCTTTGCAAGGCAGTTGCTGCCAGAACAAAGGTATGAAACCCTGCTAAATCAAAGCCAAACTGGGCCAAACTGTTGTCACTGGACACACAGGATGTAACAAGCACACCAGTACTGCCCATCTGGTCCAGAAATGAGTTGGCACTGACAAAAGAAAACACTAAAGTTTAAGGCGGCTGCTGACGGGAAAGTGCTCCTTCAATTACGCCAGGGTCCTGTATAAAACTGAAAGCCAAGTGTGGGTGTCACCACCAACATCTCCCTATGACCATCTGAGAACGGTAAATCCTATGTCCTATACCCCACCATACAGATTTTATCGCAAAGAAAAAACAACTTCTAGCCCTGACTCCAGCCGACTGTGCTGCCCCCCAGCCCCGCCCTGTTGCTGCTGCTGCTGTCAGCGACATCAAGCCTGGCTTCCACTGCAGGTGCGAAGTTGGTGTTACTAAAATGGTATTCCACTGAGCCATCCTGAAGGCCAGAGGAGACAAGAGGAAGCTGTTTAAGGAATTCAATGACTATTTTAAGAAAATTGATCTCAACCCTGACAATTTTGTGCCAATTTCTGGTTGGAATGGTCATAATGTGCTGTGGCTCACTGTTAATATACTTTGGTTCAGGGATGGAAAGTCACCTGCAAAAATGGCAATGCCAGTGGGAGCACACTGCTGGAAGCCATGGAGGACATCCTCCCAGCGACAAGCCCATGTGTGTGCACCTACAGGAAGTCTACAAGCTTCTGGGCTGAGTGGGGGACTGCTCTCATACTCGCATGGTGGGAATCTTCATGCCACTGTCACAACTGCAGTCCACTGAAATGCACCATGAGGCTTTTGAGTAGAGATTTCCTTGAGGACAATGTGAGCCCCCACCCACATCAGGAATGTGGCACCCACCAGGACATGTGGGTTAGGATAGTAGGGCTGGTTGAACTAGGCCTCAATGCCCACTGACATGTATGTTAGCTGAATGGGATGTGGGACAGGATGAACATGCTGTATATAATGACAAGCACAGGAACCAGGGCTGAGGGCAGACCTAGGTGAGGGTTATCGGGGGTTGCCCCGACTAGTCCATAGCTCCCACTGGTGTAAGAGAAGGCCAAGTGTCTGGCGGGCATAGTCAGGCTGGGCTGCAACACCCATTGGTTTGCATATGAGATGGGGCTGGAGGCAGAGCTTGACCAATGATTGCAACCACCAGTGTGTACACAGGCTTATGTGGGTGACAGACTGAGCTGGATCCAGTATTGGCAAGCACACACAAGAATCAGGTCTGGGATCATCTCAGATGAGGTTTATTTGGGGATCCCTCCAACTGAATTGCTGGACTCAGAACTTCAACCATTTGGAGAATTGCAAGTCTGACTGTGGAGTGCATGTGTCAGAGCTGAGCCTCCTCAATCGCTTAGATGGAGCAGGGAACAACATGGAGGAAATGGCAGTACACTGGGGCCTGCAGAGGACATCTGGTACTATGACAGAGGAAGAACGGCAGAACAAATTGATCAGCTATCCAGCCAAATGTTGGCAGTGAATATTCAGGAAAATGGAGACTCTTAAGATGGACTATGTCAGCAAGTAGATCCTGGAGGAATTTCATTGTGCTTGGAATGGCAAGATCAACAGCAATTCACAGACACTGAACTATCAAAACCACTTGAGCAGGACCCTCAAAACATGACCCACACTGGGGACCCTGGGATGACGTTAGGTGGCTATCCCACATCCCAGGGTATGGAGACAGTTGGGAGGCTGGGTGTGGCTTCTCCCATTACGTCCCCACTAACCCCAGATACAGGAAGACAAAAGGAGAATGTGGAGGGGTCTCACCCACTTCCCTTTAGCTCTTGACCCTTCCCACCCTAATCAACTATGCAAATCATCAAAAATAAAGGTCCCACCACAGTAGCCTAGTGGCTAAAGTCCTCCCCTTGCACGTGCCGGGATCCATTATGGGCACTGATTCGTATCCCGGCTGTTACACTTCCCTTCCAGTCCAGTCTGTGGCCCGGGAAAGCAGCTGAGGAGGGCCCAAAGCGCCCCCTGCACCGGCATGGGAGATAGAAGGTGCTCTCGGCTCCTAGCTCCTGATCCGCTCTGGCTGTTATGGCCACTTAGGGAATGAACCAGCAGCAAGCATATCTTTTTCTCTGTATCTCCTTCTCTCTGTATATCTGTCTTTCAAATAACATGACATAAAATCTTAAAAAAAAAAAGGCAAGGTGTTATGAGCGTAATCAAAAGTGGAAGACAGAAAGCTGCTGGAACTGGCAAGGTCACCAAGTCAGCCCAGAAAGATCAGAAGGCCAAATGAATATCCTCTGTAATACCTGCTGCTCTAGTCTTAATCAGAGAATGGAGGACAGGTTTCAGAACTGCTTGGCTAAACTCAATATTACTGAACTATAATATTGAAAGACTGGTTCACAGGAACAATGCATCTAAAACTTTCAACAACAGAATGCTTTGTGTACCACCTGTTTTATTTTCATGGGAGTTTTACGAGTTTCAAGAATCACTAATTTTTAATGGAAACAACTTGGACGAAAGAGGTGTCACAGAATTTTGAGACCCTTTAAACAAAGTTTAGTGAGAACACCTCCCCCCCAAATAAACCACAAAACCCAAAAACACAGCTTCATTTGCATTTGTCATTCTGCAAGGGCAAC